TGAGAGGGGGAAGAGGAGGAGGAGAGAAGAAGAAGCAGAAGAATGAGCGGAGGAGGAGGAGGAGGAGGAGGAGGGAAGAAGAAGAAGAAGAAGAAGAAGAAGAAGAAGAAGAAGAAGAAGAAGAAGAAGAAGAAGAAGAAGAAGAAGAAGAAGAAGAAAAAGAAGAAGAAGAAGAAGAACAGACCGGCACTCCACGTCAAGAAGAAGAAGAAGAAGAAGAAGAAGAAGAAGAAGAAAAAGAAGAAGAAGAAGAAGAACAGACCGGCACTCCACGTCGACGGGTGGCAGGGGTTGTCGGCAGGCAGGAGCACCGCGATCGACGACGCTGGCGACAGGCGACAGGCGACTCGACGACGACGGGCGAGTGAAGCTCCCAGGCGATGGCGACGAGGGGCAGCTACTTCGACGACGGGCGACTTGACGACGAACGCAGGCGGCTGGAGAGGGTATCGAGGCCTCGTTTGGACAGCCAATGCAGGCCACCCCAGCCAGTCGCTTGTTCAAACGGGGCCTCCGTGTTCCCTCCAAAAACGAACGGCCCTCTGGCCGTCGATCATGGATGATCGACGGCCAGAGAGCCGTCCCAAATTCAAAAAAAAAAAAACAGGCCTCACGGGCCGACGCGCTGTTTTCTCGGCATGGTCGGACCCGGTAGGCCCTGGGGAGGCGAAATCCGATTCGGGGTCGGAACCCCCCCGCCAACAAGGTGTGCTGGGGGGCCCGGCCCCCAACCGGGCCGCCCGCCCGGCCAGGCCGCCCGGGACCTCCCCCGGGCAGGCGCCGGTCGGCCGGACGGCCCGGATCCGTACACAGTATTTTCTTATTTTCATTAAACAGCTGACCCTGAGAGGAGGTACATCAGCATCTTGATGTAACAAACATGGTGTGGCTCATCAAAAAGGGTAACGAGGAGTGACACTTCCTTCAGGTAAGTATTGACAAGAGGACAGGACGACAAACAGTCATAGTCACAGACTCACAGTTGCAAAGCAGCATACAACAAGTCCAGAATCGGATTATGAATTTATGATGCAAAGTCGCAAGCGCACAGAGGTAGTGTGCCCTTCACGCTTGTGCATCCCACCTCGTCTTCTTCCCTCAATGCGAACTTCCATCCACTCTTCCTCTGTGGAGGAGAGGCATGCAGCCACATATGCGACCTACTACGACCATCAATGCCCAATACTGACTGCGACGCTTTACAAACTTGTCTACCTCCTTCTTGAAAAATCTACCTGTGAAACCCTTCAACTGGTACTCCTTCCGAAGAGTCAGAACCTGGCCTGGTGTTCCGTTCCACACGATGCAAATTTCCAACAATCGACACGGTCTGCTGTCGTGGACCTGTTCAGGACCCAAAATCCTGACCAGTTCTGATCTGCACAGTTCCATTTTCCTGCAGGCTCGACCCAAAATGGATACGACGGTATTACGACCCCTTTACTTCCAGTGAGCAATCCAAAAAATCCCGAATGGCCGACCTGTTGTTAGTTTGTTTCAGGGTCAGGTTACTTGGCTAACACCACTTGAAGATTCTCTGGAACCGGTTGATACGAACTATTGATTGAATGTCCCCGACATATATTTCAAAAATAAGGACACATCATCCGCAAATCTCAGACCAAAAAACAACTTTCGATCTCTACCATTTGTTCTAAAAAAATGCCACTCAGCATGTGCAGTGTGCACACATGATGCAAGTTAGTGGTGGACTGCTCCTCTTTCCCATGAGCAGAAATTGACAAATGGGAATATCTCTGGAAAAGAAATTTGCTGCACCTTATTAAGCACAGCTCCTTTCACTCTCTTGTTCACTCTAACCACGTTTCTGCTGCATGCTGCGTGCAAGTCCAAATCCATTCTACAGCTCTCAAAACATCCAAGTGAGGCAGGGGACTAAACATATCCTTAGCGTCATGAGAAGCCGCCTGCACTCTCACACCCTCACCCAGACTAAATAGAACTGCTTATTCGCCTTTCTCAGGCGCTTGGCCAACGTTGAAACCGCCGGTAAGTTAAAATGACCATGAGCTGAAGCTGTATTCAACAACAACTGTCAACAAGTGCAATGCATGTCATACACGCCTGCAGATCACAATAGTTGGTTCACTAAAGGTGGGACAAATGGTCTGAAAGGGACAAGTATTTGTGTTTGGAGATCACATACCCCTTACCTGACTTCCCTTTCACGGCCCACTGCCCATAACAGATCAGTTCTTTCTGACAAATTCCTGGTATGCAACAATCCAGTAAGCCTGTTCT